CTAATTCCAGCCATATTTAGACTATTAGTGAGGCTGAGAAGCTGTGGAGGCCAACATAGGGATGGTAAGCCAGCCTTAGCAGCCACAGAGTGTCTTCTGAATGGTGGAAGGAAAGGCTACACTCAGGTGGGTCAACAGAGGAGCAAGAAGGGACAAGGGCCACCAGATGTTTGCGCCAGTCACACTTTTGGAATCAATAGATTGTAGGATGACTCCTCTGGATTGAGGAGGGAGGTTGAGGCACAGGCCCGACAAAGAGGCCTTCTCCTTCCTTGGAGATGTGCTGACACCTAGAGTGAGGTGCTTGTGGGCTTCTGAATGTTGTTGGGCTTTCTCCCAAGCAGCATGGTCAAAAGTGGAGATGGTAACTTGGCCTTGGCTCAGAACCTGGCCTGCTGTGGCTCTGCCAGGGGCACTCCCTGCATCATCTGTTGCTTTCTGCTTTGACCCAGGCAAGCAAAGAGTCCCAGGAGGAAAGGCAGCATGACCAGGTCAACAGGGCTTGGGAGTGAAACCAAGTTGCACCAGTTGATCAGGCAAAACCACCATAACCTGTCCAGGAAGGATTCTTACCTAGCTATGACCGACAGCCAATCTCAGAGCAGGAGCCATGCCAAGTGACAGCAAGCCAGCCCCCACCTCCTCTGGTCCACAGCAATGGGGCAAGGCAGTCCCAGAATCCTACAGTGACTGAGGACAAGTGCAGGATCTCCAGCTAAACATCTCTAGCAGGTAGCCATCCAGCCATTTTTGAAGACATCCAGAGAAGAAAACCCCAGGACCTTTATGTGATTGGCTCCATTGGCAAACCACGTATGCCATCAAGAAGCTCCTTCTACCATTCAGTCAAAAGCCACCTCCTGGTACCTTCAAGCCCTTAGACTTGGTCCTCTCCTCTGGGGCATCAGAGACCAAGCCTGCCCCTGTCTTCTTTGGAACAGCCCTTGAGGCGTTGGAAGAAGACAGCCATCTTGTCTTCACCAGAGGTCATACGCCTGGCTCCTTCCACCTTGTCTCATATGTCTTGGGACCGCTCCCAAGACCCTAAGAGCTGGTTTGATTAGGCAACCGACAGCAGTGAAGGCGGGGGACATGATTGCTGGTGGGGGCCAGATTCAGAAGGTGAGAAGGGTTTGGGTCAGAGCACTTAAGACTGAGCATCCAGGCCACAGCTCAGCAGGAGGCGGATTGTCTCTCTTAGGTTTCCAAGCAGCTAATTAAGTCATCTGGACATTGCGTCCAGCGTATTCGGGTGCACTCTGGAAACCGGAATGGATTTCGAAACGCTGGCCGTTACAAAACTAAGTGAAATGTCTACCCAAATCCACACTGAGCTCCACTGTGAATACTGAAAAGCGGTTTGGGATTAGCAAGGGGCGAGGGGCCGTGTTCACTGCGAGCGGGCAAGCGACACAGGCAAGGTCTCGCCCTGCTGTCCGGTGGGGCTGGCTTTTTTGACACATCCATTGATGGGGACAACCCAAAAATGAGTCTGTGGCCTCTTTTCCAGACAGAAAGCCTTAAGAATTGATCTCTCCTCTGTTATTGACCTTCCTGTAAACCGTCATAAGCAAGGCAGTTGCAACCCCAAACACTTGAATCCCTTGGCTCCCAGGGAAGGAGCAGAAGGACCGGAAATCCCTTACTTTATTTATTTATTTACAACTAGCTGTGCCCTGCCACGCGTTGCTGTGGCCTATAGTAAGAATTTTCAAAGTAGAGGTAGATATCTGGACTATTATGAAAGAGCGGTACCTACCTATTCCTTCCCCCCTTTTTCTTCCCCTTCCCCTTTCTCTCCTTTCTTCCTTCTCTACCTCTTTTTTTCATTCCTTTTTTTTTCCTCTTTGGTTTCATCCTTCCTTCTCTCTTTCTTTCCTTCCTTCCCTCTCCCTTTCTCCACCTCTTCCTTTGTGTCCTTGCTTCCCTCCCTGTTTCCTCCCTTCTTTCATTTTTTATTTCCTTTTCTCTTTCCTTTCTTCTTTACCTCTTTCCTGCCTTTCCTCCCCTTTTTCTTTCCTTTCTACTTTCTCTTCTTCCTTCCTTTGGTACCTCTTTCTTTCCTTCCTTTGCTCCCTTCCTTCCCTCTTTCCTTCCCTCCTTCTCTCTTTCCTTCCTTCCCCCTTCCCCTCCTTCCTTCCTTCCCTTTTTCCCTCCTTCCCTTTCTTCTCTTCTTCCTTCCTGTCTGTTCTCCCCCAATACCATGGTAGAGTCCCTTCTAACTCTATTCTGAGTCTATTTAATATAGTAATATTTTGAATTTAAAGGTATTTTTGTGGGTTTTTTTTCAGTGATGGTCATTCCTTGGATTGTGAGGAGTTTTGTTGGCAAATTTGGGGTCATTTGGCTCTGCAGTTTTTTTGTTTTTAAGGTACTCATTACGCACAAAGCATTTATATATAGATAGATATTTATAGCCTGCCTTTCTCAGCCATATGGCAACTCAGGGCAAGTTACAAGTTGGCACAATTCAATGCCATACATTCAGAAAAGAGTGATAACAATATAAAAACATATACAAAAACCAATAAATCACGTAGTCTCTGGTGCCATCCTGTTAAAATTGATTTCCAGTAACATCGCTAAGCCATTCCAAGTTCATGTTATCTATTCTGCTGTATTCTCAAAAGCTTGCTCAAAGAGCCATGTTTTCACCTTCTTTTGGAAAGTCAGGAGGGAGGGGAACAATCTAATATCCCTGGTGAGGGAGTTCCATAGCCGGGGGGGCCACCATTGAGAAGGCCCTGTCCCTCATCCCCGCCAGTTGTGCTTGCGAGGCAGGTGGGATCGAGAGCAGGGCCTCCCTGGATGATATTAAACTCCTAGATGGTTCATTGGAGGAGATACGTTTGGACAAGTAAGCTGGGCCAGAACCATTTAGGGCTTTATAGGCCAAAGCCAGCACTTTGAATTATGCCAGGTAGCAAACTGCCAGCCAGTGGAGCTGGCGCAACAGAGGAATTGTGTGCTCCCCGAGTGCTGCTCCCATTAGTAACTTGGACCATTTGAAGCTTCCAAACAGTCTTCAAAGGCAACCTCACGTAGAGCACATTGCAGTAGCCTATATCCCTTAGCCTTAGTTTGGATGTTCACTGGTACCAGGTGTTGTTTGGAGGTAGAAGGTGTCCATCTGTGAGTGCCCCACATCTATAGATGCAAGTTCTGTAGATGCAAGTGGCCAGGCCAGTCATGGTTTTGCCACTCCAGACTGAAAATGCCAACAGCCACAGAGGCTGAGAACTTGCAAATGCAAATGCAAATGCAAGTTCTCAGCCTCTCTGGCTGTTGCATTTTCAGTCTGGAGTGGCGAAACCATGACTGGCCTGGCCACTCTCGAGGTAGACATTCATTTGAGACAAACAGTAGAGCAGTAGTTCTCCTGAGGAGTTTTAGTGCATTTCTAGAGGGTGCAAGAACGCAATGCTGTGAAGCCAGCTGAAGTGGGGCAATACTTGGACCTTGTGTGTCTTCTTGGGGCATCCTGGGAAACATCACCAACCAAGAGGAAAGTTGCCGGACAGTTAGGGCAAGGGGATCGGACTTTTCTGGAGTGTCCCAGCCAGGCTTGTCTTTCAAAGCAGTGCTTCTGGTCATCTGGGGAGGGTGAGGCATGACACTGAGGTCCACGTTCAACCCACCAAACAACAAGGAAGTCGTCAGTCCCAGAGGAGTTTGGCGTGTTCCTTTTCTGTAACCTTTTTCAGCTTGTGATCCCACCAGTCCTTTGTCACAGGCAGATGGTGTTTGTGGCACAAGTTCCAGTGAATCATCTGAGCAACGGTGTTGTGCCTCTGCTTGGAGTCTGTCTGTGTGATCTTCTTGCAGCAGCTGAGGATGGGATCTATTGTTTCATCTGCATCCTTGCAGATGATGATGATTATTATTATTCAGAGGAAGGAAGGAAGGAAGGGCCCCTTTGGAATGGGGAAATGTGGAGGCTCATCGTGTATTTGCTAGGGACACATGGAGTCCGGGGCAGTCAGTTGGTGGCCAGGAGGCCAGCAAAGGTCTTGTGAGGGTTCAGGTGGTTTCACGGGCCTTTGTGCTAGGACTGCACTGATAGAACCCCTTCATTGACAGGTCCTGGGTGAGGTTTTTGGTTGTGTCATGAGATCCCGATTGTGTGGTTGGTGGGAACGAGACAAAGGCCTTCTCTGTAGTGGCTCCCCGGTTCTGGAATACCTTCCCAAAAGTGAATCCTTCTGATCTAGCCTAAAAAGATGGCCCAGACCATCTCAGGAGCCAGACTTCCTGTTCTGTATGTGATGCTAAACAATTAGGCTCCACATGGATGGAGCCCTGGGCACGGAAGGGGGAATGTCCACCTCACCCTCGATGCTCCTCTCCGTTGGACGTTACTCCAATGGATGCCTTCAAGACCAACTGCTATTCTGGGTGTTGGTTGTGTTTCTCCTTCCCATCTTCTGGCCCCTCTTCAGTGATATTGCTGCACTTTGAGGAGTTATGCCGATTGGGTATAATTAATGGAGCCCCTTGGCTTATTTAATTTTTGACAAATGTGCATGGATCATGTTGACAGGCATGAAATTAGAAAATTCCTTGAGTGCCCCCAAATAGAAATAGCTTTCGGAACTGAAAGGAGTTCCACCACTGAAGATGTTATTGTGTTGGGAGGGAAACGTGTTTTTTTTCCCCGCTGACCCCCCCCACTTTCCCTTACCCCCCCCCCCTTCTTCTTTTCTTTGCAAATTGTGTGTCCATTCACAAAACACACACCCTGGAGCCCAGCGAGGCTCATGGGAATCAATTTCAGGTCGAATTAGTACAGTTTCCTCGCTGTCAGGTCGGGAGGATTAATGGTGTTTTGATGACACAAATTTTGAAGGGCGAACAAAAGGCGGGGAGGGGGCCCGACCTGACTCCTTAGAAGCGTGGCCCTCCTCTCCCCCGGCCTCCGTTGTCTCCGCTGTCATCCGTCTGCCAATCTCCCTGTCCATGGTGCATTAAAGGCGCTTTTCATCTTCTCTTCTTTCCCACAGAGTTTGCCAGATCCGGGCCGGTGCCCGGGTTCCAAGGGGACACGCTGCAGTTGGCCTTCATCGACTTGAGACAAGTACGTCTTTGTCTTGGTGTTTTCTGCGCTCCTTTGGCGATGTGTGGATGGGGACCGTCGGGTCTCGAGGAGGAGGGGAGGGGGCCCGCTGGCCGGGTGGGACGGGGGCACCGCTCCCCTCATCCTTGGGTTGGTGGGCATCGCCATTCTGACCCTTTCCCTTGGGAGAGGATGACCTGGAGTAGTGCCGACCTTGGTGGCCCCAGGTCGTGGATGGCGCCAAGGCTGGCTTGGGCCATTACGGCGAGGAGGTCATTCGGGCTTTGCGGGAAGGGGTCCGGAGGCGGCTCTCTCTGGGGCGGCTTTATGTCGAAGGGATTTGCATTCCGCAGAGTGGAAGGAAGGGGCCCGAGATGGGCCTGCGTTGGGGTCTTTCTCACAGCCAATTCCAAAGCATCTCTTCATCAAGGAGGTGACAAAAGGCTCCGCCCACCGTGAGACCCCCTTCCTGCTGGCGGAGGGGAGCAGGGTGTCCCTGGGCTTTGGCCAGTTCCCTTGGGCAAGAAGGAGGCCGTTGTCTGTCATGAATGACTTTTCAATAACTTTGAAGCATAGGTTCTTTTTATTGCAATTTCCAGTGTGAGAGAGTAGATCAGGTTACAGGAAAACATCTAGACAAAGAATGACATGGGACATACAGACAGATTCTGTGCAAATATATTGGATTTACAATTACATGGCTAACAAACAAACAAAAGGGATTAAATTTTCACTCAACATTCACTCCACATGTACACGCATTCATCCTCATGCACCCAAATATGAGCATATCGTTTTCTCCCTCCTTGGAGAAGCACCTACAGCGTGCCAACGCACAGTTCCAAAACTTCCATAATGCCACAACTTCTTTCCCTAAGCACAATGCCAAGGACCAGATCTGTGTTTTCCATACAGCAGAACTTGACTCCCTGCACAAAATCCAAGACTCCAAAAGGACACTTCTTGATCTTCTCTTGAGAAAGAAGCCCCAAAGTGACCAGACTGCTCCCGTGCAGATCTGCCACTCTCCATAGGTACACCACCTCTCTCCTTCCCATGGAGCGGAGCATGGCAGGTGGAACAGACTCCTCAGGTCTGCCACACTTTGAGCATTATTAGACTGAGTCTTTTATAGGAATATTCTGCTGATGTCGTCCCAAAGTTGTAAATTAATGATAGACGTCATCTATCCTGGCTCCATCTCAGTTTCCTGGCCAGATGTTGATTTTCTTGATTGGTGTTGACAAACACAAGGCTTGTGTTTTCCTTCTTAACATTGTAAACATTTATGTTATCACTGTCCCAATTGTTACCAGAGTTTACTTTTCAGCTCATATTAGCAGGTTTTAATCACAGTCCAGCAAGCAGGTAGTTTTATTGCAGGTCTGGGTCTTTTACTGGTGTTTCCAAAATTATAAGCTCCATACATCCTTCCATTCTTCCATTAATTCCCACACATCATATTAAACCCACACTTATAAAATCTGCACGTTAAATTTTTGTGACAGTCCACCCGGCCCTTTGCTTTGGAGGGAATTGGGCAGTGGGGTGCCAATCTGCGTGGAGGGCATGTGTGTGTTTGTGTGGACGATGGGGCCCATCTCCTGTCATTCATTTCTTGGCACCGGAGATGGATGGGGCGGGACGGAGGGCATGAATGAGGCAAGGCGCGCTGACTGATGCCTTTTCCCACCAGAGTGGTCTTTGTCCACCAAAGGCACCACACTTTGTCTCCCCTACCATGAGGATGCCGTGCCGTTGGTTCCAAGGGTGGGCCCTAGCTTGCTTTTGCAGTGGGCATCTCTGGATCCTAGGGCAGCTCTCTCACCTCCAGCAAGTGTTTGTGACTGATCTGTTCTGCCTCCCATTCCAACTTTTAACCATTGATGGAAAGTGTTTTTAAATTGTGCATTTTATTTTTTGTGTTGATAGTGGTTTTTTATAACTCTTACGTGATACTGTTTTATACTCGTGGACTGTTGATGCTTACACTGCAATTTCAATGCCTTGTTAGCCACCCAAGTCCCTTTTTGGGAGACGGAAGTGAAATACAAATACAGTTTATTATTAAATGCAAAAATTAGAGGTAAGAGGCAGAAAGCCACATGCCCACAGGCCGTTTGGGGAGACCCAAAGTTGGATTTGAAACTGAGACCACACAGGGAAACTCCCAACCGAGTTGGTGGTCATTCTCAGGGACCAAAAGTGACGTTTCTTTCATTTAGAGACATTTTCCATGTGGCTTTTTGTTGCACTCCAGAACAGGAAAAGCCCTCTGACTTCAAACACCACACCGCTGAGTAGGGAAAACAATCCTTTTATTGAAGATAATTAAAAAGCAGTAAAGTAAAAAGCACTTTAAAGAAATAGGTAAATCTAATTAGGTAAGAAGATAAACAGGAACAGAATAGTCCAGAGTGATTGTGCTGGTACGGCTGTACCAGGAGCTCCAACTTCCATTTCTTTCTTTAAGTGTTTGCATGTATTCCAAAGTTCCATGCATTTTGCAATAAGGTGGCTTCCCTTGGTTTGCAGCCACCTGCCTATCATCGTTGGGTTTTTTAGTTCCGCCCCTTTCCCCAGGGTTCAGGAAGGAAAGGGAGCCATTTTAACTCAGTCTTACAGTTGAAAGCTTAGCTACAGGACGTGAATCAGCTTCACCTGTAGAGAAGCTTCGTTTCTTACAAAATTCCGGGGGAAAACAGTTCCAAAGGACTCCAGCTGGAGAATCTACAAAGCCTTGGCTGGTAGGTCTACTCAGGACCCAAGAAGCAGTTTGGAACCGGGAGTAGAGCCCACACCAGCAAAGTTTAGAAAGTAGATTGCCCAAGGAGGGGTTAAAAAGGGTTTTCCTCTTAAAGAAAAGAAACCGTTCACAAAGCCAGTTGCCTGTCCCTTGTGGACAAGATTAAGAAAGCCACCAGTTGATTCAAAGCCTTGAAGTATTTGTTTGACCTGTTGAAGATCTGAGAAGTATTTGTTTGATTTATTGAAGACCTAAGCAATAATAAAGGACTTTGTTAAACTTTTCAAGCTTCTAAAGACTTTGTATAGGAAAATCCTTAGGGCCTCACAGCTGAGGCACCCCGGCTTCCCGCTGGGCACAAAGAGCACGTCCTGTCAAAAGCCAATTGCTATAGGCCCAGCGTGTGACAGCACAGTAATAGTCCAGCAAAGTCCATTAAAGCAAAGGCAAAACTTCTCTAAGAAAATCCAAGAAACCAGGGAACATGAATCCAAGACATGAATATGAAATCATAGAATCCAAGAGTGAAAACCATGAAACAAAAGGCACATAAACATGAATCTTCCAAGCAAATCTTCCATGAAACAAGGACAAGATCTTGACTTGATTCCAAATGATGCTTCATCTGACTACATATCCTGTACTTGGGGCTTTTATCTCCTCGTTAGCTATGTCTGTAGCGCTCAGAAATTGGTTTCGCTTTAGCTGAGAATATCTTATCTTTTTCTCTCGGGGCCTGGCAGAACGCCGAAGCCACTGTTCGGCTTTTCTGTTTTGACTGATCTCCTCCCGTCTATCTATTTGCTCATTAATTTCTACAGCTGGGCCAGGTACCGAGCTGTTTTCACGTTCTCTATCATGGGAACTCTCTGGTAACAATTCAGGGAGCAAACCATCACCCTCATAACCTTCAGGGACATTCTCATGGGAAACTACAATTTGAACAGGGGTCTCTTGGTCATTCTCTGCATCAGTATCACTGGCCAAACCATTGCCATCTTGAAACTCATTGACATCACTCCCCAGATCCAAAGCACCGTGATCCTGAAACACAATCACAGGCTGAGCTTCAACACTTTTGCCTGTTTCCAGTGGCTGGAGATGCACTTGCCTGTCAAATCCAAATCTTCAAGGGCCAGTTTTTGTTGGGGCATGTAAGATATCAGTTAGTGTGTGTGTCAGCTGCAAAATAAGATGCATGAAGCTGATTGGTTGGGGAGCTAGCTGAGCCTGGGATTTTTGGCTACAGTTACATTTTTAGGCCTGAGCTATGCAGGTGCTTGCAGAGAGAGAGAGTTTTGGAGTGTGTTCTTGCTTCATGAGTAAGAGTTTCTTCACATGGTCAACGAAAGACCATTTTGAATGTCTCAAAAAGGACATCATGTGAGTTAATGCAACTGTTCACATGATTGTCCATATATTAAATTAAACTATTTGTTCTTTATTGATCATCTGCATGGCATATTTTCGTTCTCTGGCAAGACAGTGTTTGGACTGATCAAACGTGAGCATCATGTAGTTTATTTTACATTACGCCACAGTTTTGGGGCCAAAAACATGGGGGATTCACTCATCAATAATGAGTTAGTGCATTAATGCACACACAGATGAACATGTGTGTGGAATGTGTTAGGATTTCACATGGAGTTGTGGTCTTTTCTAGTACAATCACGACCAGGATTTCTCCAAAGCCAGGTTGTGGCACCTGCCTCGTAACTCCATGAACACGAATTTCCACTCTGTCTTCTGGATACAAGAAATCGGGCAAGATTTCGTTGCCCACAGTCATTGAGAAGGTGGTTTTGAGAGGAGGCTGAGGGCTTTTGGTGTCTGCCTCGGTGCAAACGCATCATAGTCTGCTTCACCCCAGCTTCCGAAATGCCTTTTGGGTTCCTCCTTGGCCCCCTCTGCTTCCCCACTGCAGAAGAAGGGATTTCCAGGGGAGTCTGGCGGAGGGACGTTTGATGTGCGCTGATGGCATAATTTCCCTGACTGAAAGCCTGTGCTCAAGGCAGCATTAAGGCTGGCTTAATCCCTCAAAAGCAGGCAGGAAACAGCTAAGACACTCAATCCCACTGAACCCCAGGCTGCCAATGATACGGGGTCTAAAGGTGCCACGGCGGCTGCAACGGCATTGGGAGCAACACCTCACCCCCTTCTTCCCATCCTTGTACAATCTGCCCTGTTGCTTTTTGCGCAATGAATGATGTTAGATGGCTCTGTAATTGGTTAAGCGACCAAGCCCAAAGGGTGTTTCTCACCACTGGTTCCTCTTCATCCTGGAAAGACGTGACTATTTTGTGCCATGCAGAGGGTCTCATTTCTGTCCAACTTCTTTATTAATGACTTGGATGAAGGTTTAGAGCGCTGCGATTCACTGTGTCGAATGCCTTTGCAAGGTCGATGAATGCCATGGACAGAGGTTGGTTTTGTTCCCTCCATTTTTCTTGGAGCTGTCGTGCAGTGAAGATCATGTCCACGGTTCCTCTGGGATACTGGGAGGGTGTCTTCTGAGAGGGGTAGAAGGCGGTTTGCAAAGATTCTTGCGAGGATTTTCCCAGCGGAGGTTAGAAGGGAGATACCTCGATCATTTCCGCAGTCTGTTCTTTCCCCCTTTTTTGAAGAGGGTGATGATGGTGGTATCCTTGAAATCTGCTGGGATTTTCTCGGTCACCCATACTTTTTCTATGA